TTGCTCATGTTTATCGCTATTTGATGGTAATTCATAGCTGCTACTGCTACTACTACTACTACTACTACTACTTCAGGCATCTTGCGCCTTCTTCCGGCCTCGATTTGTGTGTATTCCTCTTTCTTCTCTCTTTTGCCAACTGTGATCAGCCTATGTTAGTGTTAGCTTGGCTTATCAACTGCATACGCGTGTATAGTGTGTTATGTTGCAATCTGTGATCTATACAAATCAAAGAGTAAATACGATTCGTTTTTGTTCAACTTCTGCCCACGCACTGTATTTCACAGCACACTTGTCGTTAGTGCGCGACTGAGTGTGAATTCAAGATCTGGATCGTTGCCAGCACGGAATTTCGCAGTGATTCTCCGAATTTGAAGCAATTCGTGAATTAACATTTATAGACGAATTTCTCGATCATTTAGTAAGGCAACAGATCTTATCATTTGGACTAGTGCCAAAGGCTATACAACGATGAACAAACAGTAGTAGTTCAATATAAGTACTTATTTGAAATCATTTCTGCAACATGAGATAAAATAAAAGTTGTTTCAAAACAAAACAACACATACATAAAGCAATTTTGACAATACTAATAAAACACCGCTAACAGCAGAGAAATGGAATGATCACGGAAAATATGAGGCATGAAACGAAATGACAAGCTTTCACCAGCGTGCTAAAAGGTGTGTTATTAGAAGTATGGATGCAACTGGCGGAGGCGGTATCGACGGTGAAAAATTACAAATAGCACTCTTTGCGGACGACATAGTTCTTGTCGTAGAAAGCCCAAAATCGTTGCAGAACTTACTAAGCGAGCTCGTAGCGAAGACGGGGAAAATCGGTCTAACAATTGACATCCACAGAACCGAGTGGATGGAGAACGCCTACTGTCCTCAATTCGATATAAACTGGACAGATACCCCATGGAACTTGTGGGAAGCTATACTTGGTACAAGTAGTGCAGATGAACAACGGCTTGGGCATCGAAACAACGAAAAGGATAAGAACAGGGGGGATAGCTTTCGCCAAGCTTCGTGATATATTCTGCGACAGAAAGATTACATCTAGAAAAGTGGCAATTTTCAATTTCACCGTTCTACCAACCATGTTATATGGGTGTGAGATGTGGTTTATACCACGCTTGCTGAAGGACAGTCTCAAAGAGCAATGAAGCGACGGATAGTTGGCGTCAACAGGCTGTAGTAGATTCCAAATGAAGTGCTCCGAGCCAGATCTAGCCTGAAGGACATTTTCGAAGCAGCAATGTACACCAGCAAGAAAAGATGGAACGGATGAGAGACAACAGATGGACAAAGTGGATAATGGAATGGTACCCGCGCACGGTCACGCGAACAGCGGGAAGGCTACCAGTTAGGTGAAAAGGCTCCATGGTACCTCTGTATGCTACTACGTAGTCTCAGATGACGCAACAACGAGCTGAATGAAGAAGTTACCAGCTGCATAGATGGCGTGATAACGAACGTCGATGACAAACAGCTGCGGAAGTATTCAGGTAAGTACATATATATACACACATACATATATATACATATGAAAAATTATAATTTTACATATGAAACATCAAACAATGGGACTGCAAACAACCCACTTTTAAGCGACTCCCGGACTGTAAGATCACCAGCTCTCAGGATGCGGGCCCTACCACTGACTGCTTGCTGATGGCACGTGCTTTTACGACGATTATTTACAAATCCCATTATCTCTCAAAAGGGATGAATACGGAACGGGTTTTGATTTTCATAATTACACATATTTTCATACTTGATAACGAAGTACTAACAAATGGTTGCTCAATTTTAACAGACCCACAAATGATCTCACTATACTTTTGTAGTAAAAAGTAAAAAGCAAAAACATAATTAAAATCCAATCCTGTCCGTAAAATTCACATGCGCCCAAACTATCTGATGAAAAACGATCTTCCTTTCAATTTCTCAGTAGTCTAACTCAAATCAACTTCATCTCTTTCTCCCCAGCAGCGGCATATGGGAGATCATGGTAAAATCAACGGAATGATCAAAAACAACAGATTCATAAAAAAAACATTTAGAAATACTGGTGATATA